TTCAAGGGGGTTGCTAAAAAAAAGGAGGTAAAATAATGAAATAGTCGCAGCCTTCATTTTCTCTCCCTTTTTTTTCGCCTAAAAATACTCATTCTCTTTCTTTTGCGCCTATAATGAATATTAATTTTACTCTTCCTGCGTATGATGGAGAATTCAAAGAGGCACGTTTCCCCATTCAGGACTAGCCATCGTATAATTTATTAAGTAGCTTTTAGTAATCTTAAATCCATAAAAATAAACATCAAACAAGTACTTTCTCGCAGCATGAAGACTTTAACTGGTAAATATTTACTGCTCTTTGGAGAGCTACCTGATTAGCAGCAGAGCAAGCTGCACTGTACTTCAATGGAGACGTGGCGGTATCTCCTTCAGCTGAACTGAACGTGAAGCCATCCCTTTAATACACCGAACACGTCTGCATAGACACACACCGAACGGCAAACCCACTTCTTCAGACACAATTTCCTCACATATTTCACGCACAACTCATAAACGTGGGGCCTACGGGGTTAAAGAAGCCAGCCAGGAAGCCACCATTAAACTTCCAGCCCTCAGCTCTGCCAGCACGGACCTCCGAAATGACAATGAGTGGATTTAAAAGCGAAAAAAAAAAAAAAAAGAAAAAAAGAAAGAAAAAGAGAGAGGGGGGAAAAAAGCCACGAAACAAAACAAAACCAAACCCCAAACACAGCCGAAAGCGTTTTACAATAGAAGGCGAGGGGAGCCAAGTGCTTGAGCAAAGGTAAGAGGAGGTGCGGGGCGAGGGAGCTGCCGTTCTGCTCGCCAACTCTCCAACGCCTCCAGCAACCGGCCCGGCAGCGCCAGGCCGGCTCCGCTGGACCCGCACCCCCACGCAACACCATCGCAAAATCCCTTCTCCCCTCTTTTTTTTTTCCTGCCGTAACCCGAATTCGCTGCTGCCCTGCGGGGACCTGGGGGGACCTGCGGTCCCGCACCGGGGCCGGCGGGACCCGGCCAGCTCCCGGGCGAGGAAGGGAATGCAATTCGCCGTCTCCTAATAGGCCGGGCCTAATCTGCAAATCGTTTTTTAATCTCGAAATCTTGATATAATCTGACGGCGGATAGCATTCCCTCCCCCCTCTCCCGGTGAAACCGTAATTAGACGTTAAGATGACAAAGTTTCGCGTTCTCGGGGCAAATGAGAAAAAGATAAAAACGAATCGGTTTGCGATTAGGCGTTAGTAAAGGTCAGCAGCTATAAACATTTATTGTCAAGGGCCACTTTTATTATTTTATGTCCCTAAGATGGAGAAGATCCAGTCACTTTTCTTCTCTAGGACGTTGTTGTCTTTTTCCAAAACAGCCTCTGCCAGGTACATTTAATCGTTCCACAAAGTTTGTTTTTAAACTTTTCAGAAATTATTCCTGCTCTGCGCGTCCATGTAACACCTCCGTGCAAAGCATTACAAGGTTAAATTCAAATCCAGTTGTTTGGGTTTTTTTTTTTTCCAATTGCACTTGCGAGAGGAAAAAGAATCAAGTTTATTGTTGTGCTTCCCAGGAGCATTTTTTTTTCACGCCGAAGAGTTTGTAACTTCTTAAAGAAAAAAAAAAAAAAAGGCTTTCTATAGTGGGGGATAGCAGGGCGGGGGCATCAAAGGGGCGATTACGAGACTCTTGCAGAAATAAGCGAGATAAGGGTTTTTTAAAAAGAAAAAAATAATTTTAAAGCATATCGTTTTTAAAAAGCACCAAAAATAAATCACCAAACCGGGGCCACGGCTCGCCCCGGTGCCGAGGAGGGACGGGGCGGTGCGGGAGCGCCCGGCGGGGCCCGCGGTGCGGACGGCTCCGCGCCCCCGGCGCTTCTCCCGCTACCGGAGCTGGGAAAGTTGCCGGCACTAGGGACAAGTTGGGAAGATCCCCGGGTGGCTGATTAAAGCTGACAGCCCTTCAGCTCCGCTCAGCTCCCCGCCTGTACCGCGCCTGGGAGCTGACTTGGCCTAGGATGTGATTTATTTTTTTTCTTTTTCCTTTTCTTCCTTTTTTTTTTTTTTTTCCTTTTCCTTCCCCCACGCAACTCTCCCGACCGCTCGCTCCCTCTTTTTCCCCACATCGCGGGTGATCCTTCCCTAACCGAGACCGCGGGAACACAAAGCTAAAGCCGCGGACGGGGCCGCCCCTGGGGCAACGAGGCGCCGCTTCCCTCCTTCCTTCCCTCCCTCTCTCCCTCCCTCCCTCCCACGCGGCGTGGCGTGGGGCCGGAGCCCGGGTCCGGCCCCGCCGGCCCTACGAGCTGGGGGTACCGGCAGCATCGGCACCACAGACACCGGCGCTTGTGGTCTCCCTGGCCGGCAAAAGCTGCGTGGGAATTAACTGCTGCTGGTGTTGGCATTGGTTTCCCGGTCAGATGCTTTAGCTTTTCCAGAGGACACGGGCTTATGTGAAAGGCAGAAAGTTTGTGAGCTCCTGGGCTGGAAAGTTCCCTGGGAAGCTCTCCGGAATGCAAATGGGAATATGAGAGAGACAGAGAGAGAGAGGGAGAGAAAGAGAGGAGGAGAGAGCGAGAGCCCTGCCTAAATATTAAAATGCAAGGAGGGAGAAGTTGGGAGAAGAAATGAGCAGACTCACCTTTATGAGGCATCCTGTCTTGTTGTCAAAGCTCCTGTCAATAGTTTAAGAGCGCACTGATTTGAAATGATGGTGCTTTAAAAAGAGTTGCCAGCAAAATAGTTTTTCTCCACTGAAGCTGCTGGTTGTGTGATCTTGAATTCCTGGGAAGGAGACAGAGATTGACAATAAAATGGGCTGTCAGTGACTGGAGAGCGAGAGATAAAAGAGTGTGTGAGTGAAGTGGGGAGAGAGAGACAGAGCACACCTATGCTGATTGGTGATGGTTCAAGTGTATTAATGTATGTGCGCCTTGGTCTCTGCCTCGCCTCCACTGCTCTTCACTGGCCCATTAGCAAAGCCTGACCTCTGTCATCATCTTCCAGCAAAACACTTCCTCCCTGCGCCTTAACCAGAGCGGGAAATGCGGCGGAGCCGGGGTTGGCTTTTCAAACCCACTAATCACTCCGCAACATGCAAATGCTCCCTTCGCTCCCACACAAAATATTGCTTTATGCAAAGCAACGCCAGCGCCTCCCCGCCGCCCATTGGCCGACCGCCGCCGGGAACGGCTCAATTGGCCCAACCGTTTGAATATGAATGCGCTGGGCCCGGCTCCCGGTTCCC